AAAAAAAAAAAAAAAAAAAAAAAAAAAAAAAAAAAAAAAAAAAAAAAAAAAACGGGATAGTGCTATAATCGGTCCATGGCTTCGCCTCGTTCGGCCTATCCTGAGCACGTGACATTCCCGAGGTCCATCCGTACCTGTTCTGCTCTACTGAGCCGGGGGGACGGCGGCGGCAGCGGCGCCCCTTAGAAAAGGGCCTCGGTCCCATCCAGGGGGGATCGCATTTTATTGCTCCCCTCGAAAGGGACAATTAGAAGCGAGTAAATTGGAAAACAGGGATCGATAGGAAAACCGAAAAGAAGAGAGAAAAAAAGGGGAAGAGAGAAAAAAAAGGGGGGTGAGAAGGAAAAGGAGAGAAGTGGAACAAGAAGGAAAGGATCAGAAAGGGAAAACTCAAAATGGGGGAATCGAGAAAAAAAACAAAAAATGAAAAATTCATCCTTACAAAGCCCATCGTGTCGGCTCGAGCCCTTTCACCTGTCTCGCCAACGCTCAATCGTCCTGTATACCTGTGCGTGCGTGTGTGTGTGTGTGTGTATGTGTGTGTGTGTGTGTGTCCCACCCCGTTCCCTCCGAGGGATGACCGCAGCCGAAGGGGCCAGTTGTCCTCCGGACAACCGGCCTTTTCGGCCCAGTCATCCCCCGGACACCACACACACACGAACACATACACAGACACGAACACGCCGCTTAGTCAGTAATCCCGTGCAAATCGGTAAGGGCCTCCTTGATCACGTGAACAAACAATCTACCAGGCTGATAGAGATAAGCATTCCAAAAGGTCTTCTTGACCACCGCCCAGCATGCGTCCGCAGCGAAGCCATTGCTTCTCATCGTTGCCACAACGCCCGCTAAGTGATTCACCGCATCGTCTGGATCCGAGCATAGCAGGAGAATCTGTGCCACCTGTGCCGTGATGATCTACAGTGATTGCCTGACACTCCTATTGGATCTAAACTTGATGAACCTGCAGGGAGCAAAACCCAACCCCCTGCGTCTGTCATGCCTAGTGGTGGAGAAAGAACCGTCCATCGGTGAGGTGACCGTGAGGGTCACGCTGAGAAAGTTGGCAACCCGTCCAAGCCCATCTTCATCCACTTCCGTATTCTCCTTGATCTCAATGTATTGCTCCGGTTATATCCAGCAAGGATCGTTCGGCTGCCGGTCCTCCATTCTCTCTAGAAAACTTCTGATGACGGCGGCGCCAAGGTCGTCCACGTACCTGAAGGTGCTCTCGAAACATGGAACCAGATGGGCATTCCCCGTGTCTACCAGCCTCATCATCGCTTGATACTCATACTTAAAGAAGTAAATATCGCACCAGATCGGGAAGCATGCCAACCCCATGGTAATGCTCCTGCCTTCATACGTATTCTCCCATGCATAATATGTTGTTAGCAATGCACCATTCTGAGAGCCAGCAGATGTCCCCTTCCTTCAATAGTAATGAGCCCATCTCCTTCGGCTGTTCAACATCCACCCATGTTGGTCTCAAACCGCCCCCTTCCCCGAATCTGATCAAAATCGCGTGGTTGGAGCTCCTCTCCCTTCTCACCTGCATAGCACACTGCACGTAGAATCTGACCGCGGCCGTGAGATTGTCCTCCGAGCTGTCCGTCAAGATCGTTTCGAAGCACCGGGTGATGTCGGCCGTGAAAACGGAATAGACCTTTCTTGGTAGATTGGCATAGAATTCGCCCACTGAAGAAATGGTCCACCAGAGGTTGGGCCTGACGCCATGCTGCTCCTCCACCTCCAAGCTCCTGTCCCGACAGAAGGCTTGTACTAGCGGGAGAAGAAAACGCAGTAAGCAGGCGCAGACGTCCGCTGCAAGAGAGATGACAGTATTTGCGGTGTTCGTGATCCATCGGAAGGTGCCCTTGTGCGCCTTGAGTACCGCCATCAGATAGGGGAGCGAGGTCGCAGTAGCAGGAAGTGCCCGAAAGGCAGAGAGTTCGCCGCGGATGAGTGATACGACGGCCGCAGGAGGCATGGGAATGCTGGCAAACTCAGGGCCAGACAACCTCTGGAAGGCCAACTTTCCTATGAAGCTCTTGCAAACGAAGGCTGGCGTGTTGGGAGCCTTGTCTGTCGGACAGATGAGGAACTTACTTGTTAGGAACGCCAGTTCCCGCTTGACGACCGGGTGCTCGAACGGCTCAGCAGTAATATGCCTGTGCGTTTCTCGGTATCTCTCCATCTTGCCCTTCGCTCCCTTCAAGATGATTCTCCGGAGAAACGACCTGGTGGAATCCGTGAGATCACGCAGCTTCATAATCCGCACAAACAATTTGTCCAAAAATTTCCCAAGCTCGGCAATCGCCTCTTCCACGTCCAGTGCCATGCAGGGGATGTGATTGAGGCCCTCATTGATGATGTTATGCAGCAATGGACTATCTGTGATAGAGGAGTCCAGAGTGATGACGTGGGTGCAACCCTCATTGTGGAGCCAGTCGATTGACCAGTTGCTGCACATGTCCGAATACCTACGCGCCCTGCACGGGCATTGCTCCGGATCGTAACTTTTCATTCATTGAGTCACGCTGAAGTCGCAGAATGCCTCCGCAGGTCTGCAAAGTTTTGAAGCTATACTGTGATTATAGGTCCATCCAATCCTCACGCGCTCTAACCAAGTTGCAGTGTCATCCCCGACCACTCTGTTGAGAACCTGTGTCGTCCCCCGTACGTCGTACGGGGGGTCTCCATACAACCCGGACGTACGGACACCCGTACGGCCGTACGAGGGTGATTTCGGGCCCAAAAAAAACCCAAAAAAAAAATAAAAAAAATGAGGTTGTTGATCTTGAAAAGATCTGCAACCCCATATATATATATATATATATATATATATATATATATATATATATATATATATATATATGTATATACCTTTAGAAGGATTTTTAAAAAATCAAAAACAAAAAAGACAAGGAAAAAAAAGAAAAAAGAAAAGAAAAAAAAAACCTCGTAGCGGAAAAAAAACGGGCAGTTGCCCCGCTTGTGTGTGTGTGTG